AGCCACATCCTGTGTGGGGGTTGGGTCGGCTGCATGGCCATCTTATAAAGGCCAGGTTCTGAGTGAGACAGAGTTCTTCACCAGGGCTTCTGTTTTCCCACTCACTCTCTCAAACAGCCAAGTCATTTCCCCTTCTCTGTCCGGCAGTGTGGCACTCACACTCCTAACTGGCTTTCCTTCAGAGTCAGGGAGGCCGGGTGAGATGGAGGCCTGGCCTCCTCACTGTCCCTGGACTGACTCAGCTCCCGACAGCACCACCAGAATTAGTTCCTGTTGTCAAAGGTTTGAAGCAGGAAAGTCAGCCTGTATTTTCCTCATTCTCAAACAAGGTCAATGCAGAGTTGATCTTTTTGGGAGCAGGGTCAATGAAAATTAAAACCGCAGTGCAGGGGCTGTTCATTCACTTTTCTAAGGAGACAGAGAGGTCATGCAAAGGGGATAAGAGGAAAACAGGACAAGCGCAGTGACCAATTTCGGAGCTGGGGAGAGGTGGCGATGGGCAGAAGAGCCATCTGGTACCCTAAAAGGGAGCCACTTGGCCGGGCAGGGTGCTGCATCTTTGCACAAGAGGCCCAAAATCTGAATGTGATGCTCAATCACCAGATTTCTAGAAGTTGGCAATTAATATCAATGTTTCTGAGACACAGTGTGTGGCCACTTGTGCTGACCAAACGTAACACATGTGTGGATGGCCAGTTTGCACTCTGTGGGCTGAACCCTGGAAATATCTCCAGCAGGTGCAGGGAGTGGCAAGGGAGGGAGGGCACGGGGTAAGTAAAGCCCACTGCATACAGTGTATGTGTGTTGGGGGACGGGGGGCAGGGAGGCTTGGCTCAAAGGACAAGCAGCAAGCTGGCAGAGGGCTTGGCAGTGCTCCTGATGCTTCCTGGGAGGGAACTGAGCCGGATTCTTTCCCTGGGAGCTTGTTCCGGGGAGAAGGGAGGAAGCAGGGCGTCCAGGCCCTGCTGGTCATGTGCCGTACGGGGGCCCAATGGGAGGCTGTTGCTGGGGAGAGAACAGCAGGCTCACACAGTGACCCTCCAGAGTGAGAAGGAGGAGCAGGGCTGCTCTGCCCCTCGTTGCCCATAGCAACCCTCAAGCTCTTCCTCGGCAGGCCTCGGCAACTCGGCAACTCGGGGCTTCCGGTCCCCTCTGGCTGGTTCCCTCTCTTCTCTGTGCCGTGTGCCTTTCTCTTGTCACACCGGGGTTTCTATGTCACAATTAGGTGACTGTAGTAATTTAGACTGCAGAGGGTGAGGCTGTGGGTGGGGAAGGGGAGGAACATAAGGGTCCCAGTCAAGGGTGATAGTGAAGTGATCATGAAGTATGAAAAGGGGCAGAAAGGTCCTGAGCCTTCATGCTCTAACTGCCCAGAACACATCTCTAGAAAAAGAGAGAGGGTCATAAGCGGTCCAGGAATTGGCCCCAGGCCAGGACAATCAGAGATTCAAGGATGTATTGGTATGTATCAGGATACACCATATACACAGGGGGAAGAAAGGAGCCGTGGATTTTTGTTATGCGATGATAAGGTACAAAGACCCCGATATAAGTACACACAAAAGTCCAACTTCTGGTCTAACCATAGAACTGTATTTCCCAAACTTGAGTCAATCGTATACTACCAACACAATTTTTTGTTTGTTTGTCTCCACACTGAGCCTGGAGCCTAACACAGGGCTTGAACTCATGATTGTGAGATCAAGACCTGAGCTGAGATCAAGAGTCAGAACGCTCAGCCGACTGAGCCACCCAGGTACCCCACTGCCAACACAATTTTTAACCAGACTTTTGCATCATCCATCCTAGCATCCACTTGGTATTTTTCTTTAAATTAGGTCAAATTTTTTTATGTGAATAAGTTTATTAAATGGGAAGTTTGTATCACTGCCCCAAAGTGGAAGCCGGTATCACATGCCATAAAGGGAAAGCAATAGTAAAAACAAATACTACAAATATTTATGTGCAGACCAGTGAAATCATCCCTCATATAACCAGGTATGTGTAGGCACTCACAGAATTACCATCTTAAGGAGTAGAAGAAAAGCCAGCCAACCTAACCGGCTGACTCTTGGAACTATCACCCCCTCTGATGAGATGTCTTGTGCTGCCAGGCAAGATATTTCTCAGGTGGATGATAAATCAAAGAGCTTTCATGTTATTACTTGGGTTCCACTACTCACTTTAGCTAATACCTCCTTACCTTGAAGGGTATGGTGATAAAGACTTGCAGTGCAAATAGTAGGTACTTAATATGTGCTTTAAGATGAGTGACAGCCTATGGAAAATCACTCACCAGGTCTCAGTATGTGTTGGTCTCATCATGCAGCTGGACCTAAGGATTTGAGTTCTTCCAAGAGAGCATTGCAGGAAAACCCTGCCCTTGGATCGGCAAAGCACCAAAGAAGACCAAACTCACCACTTCTTCGACTTCAGGCGAGGCGCTGGGTTCCGGGGGATGAGGAAGAGGGCTCTCATGGGGTGCATGTCACAGAGAGCTGCAAGAGACCAAAGCAAGGGCCAGCTCAGGTTAGGAGGCCAAACCCAGGCCAAATGGCTCTGAGGCCACACATGCCCAGTGAGCAAAGCCAGAAGATCGCAAAGCTTCTACGTGTTTAGCATTTAAGAGAGCTGATGTCTAATTACAGAAGTCTCATAAAATTTCAACTGGACATTGTTAACATTTCTATTTCTACTCCATATTTAAGAAAGCTAAGTTAAAGCGTCAAAGCCTTTGCTTTGCTATAAATAACCATCTCAGATTCAGAGTAAACAACATCAAGATAAAAACTACAATGGAGACGGTAGGTTATTTTTAATTAGCAAAAGCCTAAGTCATAAAATGAAAGATAGATGGTCTATTTCTTATACACTGAAGGCTCATACACATGCAATGCTATCTACATAGATTTTTTTAGAGTATAAAGCACTCGACCAGAACACTTTCCTCTCTGTATTTCCAAATATCCTGATGGCTTTTCAGGTTTCATGACAGGTTCGTTTCTGTTTTTTGTTCATTTGTTTGTTTGTTTGTTCACTGGCCCCAGGAAGAACAGAGAGATCGACGCAAAGAGGGTCTGGTAGAAAAGTTATTAAAATATCTCAACCTGTAAACATGGCATTATGGTTTATAGAGAAAGCACTCATGCATTCTTATTTTAATCAAAATATTTCACTAGTTTACTTTTTAAACCTCCAGGGCTATCTTTTCCTTTGTGCCCAGAGTAAGAATATATTCTCCCTGAAAGCTAAAAGATTCTGTGGGTAGAAATTTATTTTTAGCCCCCTCTACTACTCATCAAGAATGATAATATGAGGATAATATTTCAGACTGCAATATATGATTTTTTGGATTCATAAATGCCTATTAGCATTGCCAATGAGGGGAATGTTGTCAACAAACACTCCAAATCAATCATGCTACGGATGAATTCCACCAACTCTAGAGTGAGAAATACAAAGGCTATGATAACATGAAGATAAACAGCCGTGTGAGCCAAACGACCTGCCATGCACAGAAGGGGGCCGTTTTGGGTTCAGGTTCTCCGGAAAGCGGACGCCAAGGCTGCACTAACCACATGAGAATAGTTCCAGGGGAAATTTCTGCCTGAGAGGCAGTGGGGAGGGGGCCAGGGCAGGTTGGCGGAGCTGTCACATTGCTCTGCAAGTCTGATCGGAGTGAAAGCGAGAGGCAGACAAGGTAGGTGGAAGTGTGCTAGACTGTCCTGCCGCCTGAGGAAACCAAGCGGAGGAACTGAGGAGTGAGAGTTGCCTACGAAGGCATCTCGTGTCTTCGAGAAAAAGGTCTGCCTTATATGCGGGCCATGCTAGGACACTGAATAGGGGGTGGGGTGGGGCGGGGCTTGGGGGCTGCTGCAGCAGCCAGACCATTGGTGAGCTGCGCTTCTTGCAGGAAGTCCGCATAGCCCAAGGTCATGGCCAGCACGCGCCTGACGGAGGCGCTCTACAGCACCCACGCTCCAGAGCGCAAGACATTTCAGACCTTCCCCGGATGGCCGGAGCCCCGGCCGCTCTGGCTCCCACCTAAAAATCTAAACAGCAGTATTGTATTAGGAGTGAGAGCAACCGAGTACAAGAGTTTGCGTAACTCGCGCACTGAGAATGAGTTCTGGATTTTTGTTAAGTTGGAGTTTACAGACTTTGTGGGTTGGCCCCCGTTTTGCGTTAGGTAAAGAGCAGTTCAAGAATAAACGACGCGTGGAATCTGTCAAACAAACCAGATCCCCCGAGTTCCTTTCCCTTTTCTTTCTTTTTTTCTCTAAACACAGGATCCTCACATGGCTCTGAAATGAATGGGTTCCTGGTTGAGCTAAGGTGACTTTGCTTTCTAAATATGCCAGCTCGAACCCACGCCGGGCTTAGCGTAGCAGAAGGAAAGCTACCCTGGCACGGGCAAGAAGGCTCCGCACCTGCAGAGAGCAGCCCAGCAACAGATCTCACCCACAGGAAGGTACTTACGGGGAGCACCTTCTGCCATCTCAATAGCGGTGATTCCCAAAGACCACAGGTCACTCTGAAAGAGACGAAGGCACACACACATGCATAAATGCAGGCAACAAAGAATAAGCTGCTTCAGCGGGTAATTGCTCCACAGCTCCCTGTAGGAAAGCCATTCCTTTACAAACCCGTTTCACCCACGAAGCTTAAAAGCAGGGACAGCCTTTTATTTTATTTTTTTTTTCTTTTCATGGATAGCATCTTTCACGGTATGATCTGACACATGGTGGATTTTCAGTAAATATGTGAAAAATGAATATGAGGTTTTAAAAATTAATTGATCACCAAAATTTATCTATGGATCGAACCATACGAAACTGGTATGATTGGACTGTTTTTAACACCTTTATTCAGGTATAATTATCATATAATTAACTGCTTATCTTTAAAGTGTATCATTTGGCAAGTTTTGAGACGTATGCACCTGTGAAAGCATCACCACAATTAACATTGTAAATATATCCAGCACCCCCAAAAGGTTGCCCTTGTTCCTTTGCAGTCTCCCCTCCTGCCCTTGCTGTCCCCTGACCCAGTTCCTGCTCCGAGGCAACCACCGATCTGCTTTCTGTCCCTATGGATTAGTTTGCATCTTCTGCAGCTTTATAGACATTAAATCATTCCATTTCTTTTGCGAACGTAATGGATTGAGGTCCAGCCTTGTTGCAGTGTGTAGTAGGACTTCATTCCTTTTTACTGCCGACTGCTGTCCATTGTGTGGATATACTTACTATACTTTGTTTATCCATTCACTTGTGGATGGACACTTGGAGTGTTTCCAGTCGGAGCTACGGCAAATAAAGCTGCTACAGACGTTCATGTACAAGTCTTTGTATGGACATATGCTTTCATTTCTTTTATGTAAACACCTAGGAATGGAATGGCTGAATCATATAGTAGATGCATATTTAGTGGGTTGCCTTGACCTACAAAGACAGCAATTTCAGATGGTTTAACCAAATAAGATGAGGACAGGGAAACTTTTGGGTGGTGGCATTCACTGATAGATCTCCAGTGCCCAGGACAGAGCCAGGCACCATGGGAGGTGCTTGATATGTTTGCTGAATGAATGAACAATACCGCCTATCTTGTAAGTAGACAATATGTAAAACAGAGAACCTGTACGCTTATATTCTTTCTTATGGTAAGACTGACTTTTACGTTGTTGTCAGAATTTTCTAGACTACTGCCTTTACCCCTGCCTGTGCAGTCTGCAGCTGCAACAGTATGCTTCTCTTCCACTCTGTGTGTATGGCTGAGTTGTCCCTACGTATTGCACAGGAGGGAGCAAATCAAAAGAAGGGAGAAACCAGGTTAGGAAACCCCAGAAGAGAGGCTTGCTACTTCAATGCCCCAGCATATTGGTAAGGACACACAATGTGGAATTTGGTTCAATGGCCTACAATCCTGATGAAGACTTTCATCCTCTTTTCATTTTCAATATATCCAGCATTTTGCATGGTATTCCAAATTCTCTCCTGTAACCTCACGCAGATTACAGAGATCAAAGTTAAGTTTCCTTGCTATTCCCATCAAACAAATGTCAAGACCACAAGAAAGGAGATACACCTAGAAAAGGGACTATGAAATCTATGCTGAGCCATTACCCAGAACTAAACTTCTCAGTATCCTGTGAGTGACACCCAGCCCTGTTCAGTATTTGGACAGAGACCCACACATACATGGAGGGGACTTTCTGCAGGGGGGTCTAGCCTCTTGCCTGAAGTGTCATATCTACTTTAGAGTAGGTGGCCAGGGCACACACTAAGCCTGTACTAGGACCAAGGGGAGATTCTTTTAATTCATGAGCCTATCAGTCTGTTCACATGATACACATTCTCAGTTCAACTTGGGATAATAACACACCTGCACAATACCATTGTTCTCAGATCCCAAGTCACTTCTCTGCATGGAACACAACTCAAGAAGGCACCTCTTACCCTTTCTCTTTGTTATATTTCAAGATGTATTCCTCTTGTCATCACACACACACACGTCTGCACAGCCCAGCAAGTGACTGAGTTTTCCTGCGGACTCCTGGCCTTGCTTAGGGAGGCCCCTCTGCAGCTAATGGGAAGGCCCAGGCCACTATTACAGGCTGACGCAGGAGCAGTAACTGGTAGAGCAGAAAACACAGGTCTCGAGGACCTGGGGTTTTAGGGTTGATTAACACAGACAGTCATTTGAGAACACGACAAAAACACTGAGTCACTCATGGTGCAGTAGGCATTAAACAGGAAACACAGCAGGAATAGTCTGGAAATGGTAGGCTGTGCTATTTTGATAGGATTTCAATATCTCTAGGACTTGGTGGTTCTACCATTTTCCCTCCATCTCCAGAAATCGAGTGTTTCTGTCATGTGCAATGAGGTGCAAATATAGAGGTGGTGGCCAGGCTCTCTGTCCCTAAGGGCCACAGCAGGGTCAAATTTAAGTGGCCTTCAACTCCTGGAAGTTTGAGCTGGTCTGAAAGCCAACTGAAGGCCAACACTTCTGTAAGGAAATGACAGGGCTGGGGTGAGAAGAGCTCCAGGCCAGTCCTCAGCTGGGGAAAAACTGTGCAGAAAATCCAGGCAAACGTCTGCCCCCGAGTCCTTACTCTAGCTATCCCTTCTGCTTGCAGCCACGACCCTAACTGTGTGCTGGCTGACACCCTCCTCTCCGTAATAAAGTCTTCGCTCAGATGCCATGTTCTCAGTGCAGACCCCTGAATGTCTCCCCTGGCCCTACCAGACCCTGTTCTCTTTCCCACTTTTGTCCCCCAGAGAACGAATCACCTTCTCACATCTGTGTAATTTACTCATCCCTAATCTATAATGTGTTGTGTTTACTGTTTGTGTCCCCTGCCCCCAGCGCACACAGACTAGATAGAACATACGGTCCACAAGGGCAGGGATCTTCGTTTTGTTACCCGGTATATTCCAAGTACCTAGAGCGGCACCCAGCACATAGTAGGCACTTAAGAAATAATCGTTGAATGAATGAACAGATGAAAGACCCACGACGGAAAGGAGCAAAACTTGTGTCTTAAGGTTGTTAGACTCCTCGTAGGGCATCTCCAACCTTCCATTTCGCAGACAAGGGGAAAGGACGTCCCCAAGACCACAGAGCAACTCAGCGCCGGGTTTAGAGCAGGGCTGCGTCTCCTGCCTCCCAGACCACTTCTCTTTTAACTGTCATCACGACATAAAAACCTGAGTATTCATCTTTTAAATAAAACCTATGAGGGGCCCATAAAAGAATTGTTCCAAATTCCTAATTTGTTTACAGGTAACTGAAGGTGCTGGAGATGCAACGAAGGTGCTGAGATTCAGTGAGGCACCCCAAAGGCCAGTGCTAGGAAACTGGCCTCCACTTCCCAGAGGCAGCGTGAATAGTCTTTGAAGTCAGACGGGCCTGGATTCAAAGCCAGGTTCCTAGCTACCTGCGGAACACTGCTCAGAGCTTCGCTTCCTCAGCGTACAACAGAGCTAACTGCAACACGCATGCACACAGGTCTGCTGCCTGGCACAGTCTCAGTCGCACTGTAAGCTCCAGCATAGGAATCTCCTTCTTCTCTACTGTTAGGTGGGACTGCCTGTGCTTGCCCAATACAGTCTTCTATGTGTCCCCTCTCTCTGGTTGTGGCAGACCTCGTTTGTTGGCTAACCGCACAGGCATTCTCAGAGTGTAGGAAAACTAAGCTGTTTATCCAGACTTCCCTGCAGCTAAGGAGGGCAGGTAAGGATGGGACGTAGTTCTGGCCAATAAGACACAAGCGAACATCCTCCGGGAGCTTCGGGGAAAGCTTTTGTTTTTCCTGATACGAGGGACAAATACAGTTGGTGTCTTGACAACTCTTTCCCACTTCGTAGTGCCTTGAAGAAAAACATGACATCCAGAGTTACAGCATCCATTTTGCAACCATGAGGCAATAAGTCAATAAGTTAATTATGACAGGGCGGAATGGTAGGAGCCTGCGTTTTGAATACGTCAATGAGCCACTATACCAACCTGGACGGCCTGCCTCTAGACTTCTGATGATGTAAGAGACATAAGAACAACCAGAAGCGTTCTTAGTGATAATATGTATACAGCAGTAATTTGAGGGAACATATTCTGACAGTAGGAAAATGGAGAGGTCCCAGTTGTTAGGTGATCCTGGTTTTACCCCACAGGAAGCAGGAAAAGTCAGTGAAGAGAGAGAGAGGTTTCTCTTATTCAGGACACATCATCTTAGATCCCCTCTGAGGCAGCTTCCCCACCCAAACCCCAAAACAACCCCTTCAAACCAAAGGTCACACCATCCCAAGTCCTGTGTACCCTCTGTCACATGACCAGGCCAGAAATTGCTTCTTCTTTAAGCCCTCATTTGATATCACCATTAGGATCATATATAAATATATAGATATATATATATAAATATCTCCCCCCCGCCCCGGGTTCTCCTCTTTTCCAAAAGGAACATTTACATTCCTGGCCATATATACCCAGAGCTGCTTGTAAGCTGCGCTTAACTGCCTATGCTAGACAGCAATAAACGTCCTTGATGGGACTTGTTTTAAGCCTTTGGATACATTAGCAAGTCCCAAAGACACTTCAGAACTTAAATACGGGAGAAAATGTTCCAATTACAACTGGCAAGACAGATCACAGGAGATGAGAAAGGGAAGAGGGAGGAACAAGATGGGGAGAGAGTCAGGGAGAGATAAGTTTCCTTTGTGGCCATGGTGTGCCTCATTTTGGCAGGAGCTGGGTAATTCATTATTCCAGAGGCGCTGTGCAGCCTGGCCTGTGGCATGATTAATAGCCACAGTCCTGTGTGCATTACAAACGGAACAGAGACAAATTCTAGCGCCTCTGAGAAGCCAGAGACGAGCACGCAGCTTCTGCTGGTGGGGCGGGGGGTGGGGTGGGGGGTCAACTGGCACGCAGGCCACTTGAACACAGCAAAAGAGCATTCCTTTTGGGGCTGGGCTGCCCAACCTGTGAAGAAAAGGACACTTCCAGATGGCTCAACCAATCACACACGGAAAAGAGAGGGTT